TCTTAGCGGCACTTGTCGCCTTTGGGTTCGTGCGGCAGTCGGGAGGAAAACACGAGAATCACACCGTCACGCTTCTTTGGCTAGAAGCTAGCTGGCTAGCAAAAACATTGCTTTACTTAAATAAAATAAACGGACTGTTGCTGCTCAAAACGTGTGAAATACCTGTTACTTCTTTTCCCGCTTCACAGTTAGAGTTTAGCTTCCGTTAGTTTGGCTAAAAACTACAAGAAAAAAGTGCCGTTTATTCACAGCTTTCTGTTTACGTTCGCAGCCATGACAGCAAAGTCCCAGCAGCCTTTGCTCTGCGTGACCAGCGCTGCACGTACCCAGAGATCGTCTATGTTAGTGCGGGGTCACTTTGGTGACTTTAATGTGCGCCCAAACATGAGAAGTTTCAAATTAAAGGCAGTGTATTTTTATTGCGAGTAAAAATATCCAAGTTCCCTGACTGTGGATGATTTCAAGCTGTCACTCCAGTGAAGACTCGCCAGTGGATGGCTAGCATCAAAAGATAAAATCGAAAACTTTTAGATATGCATTTTGAACTCACATTTCAAACCTGCACTGACTCTGCCTCCAAATCTATATTTTGGATCGCAAATCTATTGACTGGATAATAAAGGCACAAATGCCACTCCATATAATTTGTTATAAGCTGACACGCCTGTACATTGACAGTACATTAACTACGAAACACAAAATATACTCAGCTTATAAATGAAAACGTTTGATACACTGGTTTAATTTTGGTCCTCAGACCCACTTCGAGTTAACGACTTTTCTGCCCAGTCCAAATAGACGATCTTCACTGTAGTCTAGCCAATTAACTATATAAAAGGCAAATATTTTATTGCTCTCCGCATTTCTTTGAATTATATTTCTATATTTTATTTTTATTTTTCATAATAGTGACGTCAGCGATAACAAACTCAATTTCCAAATTCATTACCTTTGACCTAAATGTCCCACGTGACCTACAAAACAGTGACGACCCCTCCTGCTAGCTGTCTGCAGCTAACCGGGAGGACCTTCATGCTGACATTTTCATATTCTGGGCATTTCGCACAATGGACCAGACTAAACAAGAGGAGGAATATGGATATGACTTATTCCCGGAGAGAAAACTGGGAGAGCACAAAAAGACCTCAATCGCAGAGAGCCTGTTCACTTTCAACCACAAGTGTCAGGTCATGTTACAGTTCGCAGTGGAAACCAGTGAGTATCAGTGTTAGCTACTTTTTAAAAAGAGAACGTCACCTCAGCAGTAAGAAGCAAATACCTGCCGGTTCGGAGGACTGCATGCCTTTTGCAGTGTACAAAGTCACAGTCTATATTGGCAGCACTTTTAGCGTTAGCGGATTCAGTTAGCAGTGAATGATAATGCTAACTAGCTTGTGTGCTTCTCTCTCAGGTCCTTACGCCAAACTCCTCCTCAGTGCCATGAAGAGTTCAGGATGGTACGTGCCACTTCAAAATAAAGTACCACGCTTGACCTTCCACTGTTAGTCTCATATTACTGTAGTGATACCTATATACAGAGCAGTCCCAACAAATGGGAAAGGGGGGATACTCTTGCTGTTGCTTTTTATTATTAACAAACAGTCGAAATTAACAGTTTTACAAGTTTAACTTTGCTGCAGATCATTCGTTTTACAGCTACTATATACATATAATAATCTTAAGTACAAATGCTGAAAAAGCCATTTCAAGTTTTTCCAGAGTAACAAATTCACTGACATTTTCACTTCCCAAAAACATAAATACATTTTTGCCTACCCAAACCTTCTTGGCCCTGTGTGAAAAAGTAATCGCCCACCCTACATGAGTTAACTGTCGATAATATTTCAACGTTTTTTTGTTTTTGGAAAGCAGAGTTCAATTTCTTTAACCACATCCAGGCCTGTTTACCACCAGACGTTTAAGAAATCTTTTAAATAGAACCTGTTCAACAAAGTGAAGTCGTCTAAAAGCTCTTAAAAAGTGATGTGATGAACCTTCCCAGGAGTGCCTCTAAGAGTGCACTGATGTCTCAC